TGGTTCATGGGGTCACGAAGAGTCGGACATGACTTAACGACTGAACAACAACAACAACAAAGGGAGCAACGGGAAAGCAGATTGTGGGTGACTGTAGGTCTGTTAGTAAAAAAATATTGGAGGAACAAAGAGGCACAAAGATACAAAGTTGCCTTATACTATGTCATTCCACTGGTTTATCTATCCCAACTTTCCCCAACTTTGTGCTTTGCAAATGAATTGAAACTACATCTCCCAGAATTCCCAACCAACTTGGTCAGACAATCTTTTATTCCTGATATCTACACTCTAAGTGACAGCCCTGCCACCAATATTGATCACTGTTACCAATATAATGGATCAATTTTCAAGGTATTTTTTTTCTCTTGGATTAACCCTACACCTTTTCATTTGACCCTTCCTTCCTTCCTCCCCCCTTCCTCACACAGGCTTAGAGGCTGCTCCAGTCAGAACTTATTCTGAGCAACATGAATGTCAGGATGAAAACAGTACAAAAGAAAATATACAGCCTTACAGCATTATCAATATAATCACCTATATAAGACCAAGGAATAAAACAGATATTGAGGGTCTGACCCAGGAAGAACTTTAAAGGTGGCAAACAGCACCTTGAGTTGCATCCGGATTTATGAATCTACCTAACTACTTAAGTAGAGCCTTGCTGGATATGCCTACTTATTCCAACAAACTGTGTCCTACCAGATGCATTTGGGAAGTACACGAGTTTGGACTTGAGGGTGATAACTACCTTCCACTGATACTACCAGCAACCAGCATTTAAGACCTGCTGCTTATAATTCAGCACATAGTCAGCCTCCAACTCTATTAGTAGCCAGTGTGAGTGGGGACTGAAATGCCTCAGATGGCCTAGGCTTCTGCAGATTGACTATAAATTGCTGCAATTAAACTCTACCTGTGTTTTCCACTCTTCATAAAAAGGGAGCAATATTTTTCTTCCTTGACTGCCCAAAAGGGGGAAAAAAAAGTAGTGGGGCAATTCAGTGAAAGCAAACACTGCTGTACTAGCCTGTCCCGGTTGGTTGAATCAGGCTTCTATGGTGAAGGGAAACCTTTAAAATGCTTCTACCTTTCTTTATTCAAGCCTGAAAGATCTTATGTTTGTGGTCGGTTGCCCCATCATTTTGGTTGTGCCCTTTTGTATCCCTTCTAGCTCTGCAATATCAGTTTTAAGGTGTGGGTACCAGAGCTAGGCATGGTAGTCTGATATTGGTGGCTGGAAAATTCCTACTTAAGTTGAAAGACTCTTCAGGATGGTGTAGCAGGAAGGTAGATAATGTAAACAATCATCCATCATCAATGGGTACTTCGGATGTGCATTGGAGATAAAAGGAAATTCAAGCCTCCTCTTCTGAG